TGTCAAAGTTCAAGGTCGAATTATGTTGGAAACGCTTCAAAGTCTATTTCAGTGACGTCTTCACACCAGGATACACTTTTACTAAACGCTGTGTAATGGACAGATAACAATCTCACAAATTCTCTTCAAGCAATCAATTTCAAAATAAAAAGTATACAAGATGGCGGCCCTGGCCAATGGTTGTCCAAGCTACCGACGATCCCTTACACTGATGCACGAGGTCTGCCTAGAAACCAGACAGGTCGGCGAAATGTTGACAGTAGACGTAAGATCAAATACATATCGGGACTACATGAAATAGATAAGGGTAAACCACATCACACTCCAGAGGTCAGGTAAGATCACGTGTAAATTGGAAGTAAGCAAACAGTTTACAATAAACTACCGTTAGCAACAGTAGTGGCCTCTGTACTGGACACTATGGCTAGCAAAGGCGATATTGTGTGTTGACAATCATAACTGAGCTTTCATTGATAACGTTTTTCTTAAATTCAGACACATTGTGGTAAATAAGGAATCGGCCGTTCAAAACAGTCAATGTTTTTCTACTAAATGTCATTGAAATCTGACAAAAGCATTAGATCTGCGTGATAATTACGGGAAACCATCGAGTATGTCCCGAACGACTTAATATGGTCAATCATCAATGACTCCAACATAAATCATATTTTATTGGATGTATAAATCAATAAAGACTTTATTAAGTCAATGGACTGATTGTCGGTATGTTTTGATTGGACGTCATAACGAAATCATTTGTCGCCTGTTTATTATTATGACGACAATATATTGGCGTTATTTGTGTAAAAAGGGAAAATCTACAGCCAGACCTGGACTCGAACCCAGGACCCTCGAACTCGGATGAACGCTCTACCGAGCTAACTGGTCGCCGACGATCGACCCTGTCCAGTTCCTCTACACTTGTGTTCGTGTTTGGGGATTGGGTGGGGTGGGAAACGGGCTCATAAGGGGGGGGNCAACTTATCGACGAAAACACGAGGGTTTTTTTCACAAAAGGACAGGGAAAGAGGTCTGTAATTAAATACTTTCATCGAATGCATTTATCGAGCGATACAGGTATCACGTTTTCATTGGCAATAATGGCCAAAAAACTTTTACTGTGAAACGGAGACTGTCTTTTGGAAGTATGACTATATGTCTTTTGGAAGTATGACTATATGTCTTTTGGAACTGTAATAAAAAAAAAAGCATTGGCTCAAACTAACATAAATTGTAGAAAATTATACAATACAAAAAAATGGCCGAGGTTTTGGATGCATCACAAACTTTAGTTTCATTGTATCATAACTTTTATCAAAAGGATTTGGAAATGAACATCGGGGAATTAAATTTGAAATGATTGAATTTGATGCGGGGACAGTAGTGCAAAGCGAAACATACTTTGACAATTTCAGAAGTTGAAGAATATAGGTAACATACCTGAACTGCATATTTCAATATCAGTTATTTTTGTTTGGGGTATTTGTGTTTTGGTGTTTGGGGTACTAGTATTTGTGTGGTTTCTTGGGGCGTATTTAGGAGATGGTGGCAGTGAGAATGTGGATGGTGTTACCAGATCGCTACGCAGATCGGGTGTTAAATTATACGGGCGGGGACATTGTGATATGATAAATGAGTTCCTTATCAGTCGAAATCAAGAGAGTATTAACCATGACAAATCATATTTCCACACTCAATGTGTACTCCACACTCCCACACTCAATGTGTACTCCACATTCAAACTAATGTATAAAGTGTACTTGTCCACAATTTTACGGCGCTAACTTATACAACCAATTTTACCATTCTACTATCTATTATCAATGTAAGGTTCATCGTACAACAGTACAGTATATTTAACTAGGCCACTGTATAGTATATATTACCACTGTACAGTTTATATTACCACTGTACAGTATATATTATTATGCCGGAAGCGTCGACGAGTAGGATCATGCAAGCTCTTTTTTTTAAAAAAAGTGGATAGAACTAGATCTTGATATGGTAGGAAATGAAGATATCATCAACGACGATGCATACAGTACTTCCAATTGTATTTTTTCTCTTTCAGTCTTTGAAATTGTAAAAGCAAATGAATAAATAAATTCATTTGTTAAATTGCCTTTACTGGGTGAATAATTTGTTTCGTTATAATAAAACAGTTATAGAATGGGTAATTCGGGAAATAGCAAATTTATGGTCATCCTTGATGAAAAACTATTCCCCTCGACGGCTTCGCCGCCTTGGGAAATAGTTTTTCACCTCGGGGGACCATAAATGTGCTATTTCCCTCATACCCCTTCTATAACTGTATATTACCACTGTACAGTATGTATTACCATTGTACAGTATATATTATCACTGTTAAGAATATTTACCACTTTTTAGTATATATTATCACCGTAGAGTATATTTACCACTTTTTAGTATATATTATCAGTTTAGAATAGTTACCACTGTATAGTATATATTACCACTGTACAGTATATATTACCACTGTACAGTATATATTATCACTGTTCTGTATATATTACCACTGTATAGTATATATTATCACTGTTCAGTATCTTTACCACTATTTAGTATATATTATCACCGTACAGTATATATTATCACTGTACAGTATATATTATCACTGTTCAGTATATTTACCATTTTTTAGTATAAAGTATCACTGTATAGTATATATTACCACTGTACAGTATATATTATCACTGTACAGTATATTTACCACTTTTTAGTATATATTATCAGTTTAGAATAGTTACCACTGTACAGTAAATATTACCACTGTACAGTATATATTACCACTGCATAGTATATATTACCACTGTATAGTATATATTACCACTGTATAGTATATATTACCACTGTACAGTATATATTACCACTGTACAGTATATATTATCACTGTTCAGTATATAGTATCACTGTATAGTATATCTTATCACTGTACAGTATATATTACCACTGTACAGTATATATTATCACCGTTCTGTATATTTACCACTGTTCAGTATATAACACCGCTGTACAATCCCTATTACAATATACAGTTCAAATTACCAATGTTCATACATTGCCACTGTACAGTTTTACAAAATTCCATAATTAGGATTCCAGAAAGACATGTATTTTTGTTGTCAAATGTTTCATAATTGGCATTATACCGCAAGACAATCGCACTTTAGCTTTTTATTGCATACATTTTAAAGTTCTTTCTCCCCGTGTGATATTGTTTTACTCCAAATGAGCCTAGCCATCCGCCTATTGTAGGCGTGTGTGTGCATGGAGTACGATCGATATCCGACATGGATGAATAAAACATGACAACAAGATACACAATAGATGCGTTCTACGTCATAACTTCAGTTTTAAACATGAAACCTTCGACAGTTCCTTTCTGTCGTACTGCGAGTCTGAAATGTACATGACCTATACGTTTGCAGTAGACACGACTTGTCTATTTAGCGGGAGAATGCACTCCGCTAGGCCAAGGTCACCTATCTTTAAATCCCAGTGATTCGGGAGTAAGCTGTCTATTGTAGGTTTAATAAGTTCAGGTATGTAGCTAGCTTGGTCAGGATTATGTCTAATCTATGGTCGAAGATTCAAGCATGTGCCCACAAGTCCACTTCATAACGTATGAACTCAATAGCGACAGATTCATTGGCCATTGTCTCAGTCCTACATTGTAATGCGTGCGTCTCGCAACTTTTTAAAAACGTCTACTGTAACTCTTCAACGAAACAAGCTGCTGATTCGTTGTCATTGGTTCATGAACATTTTCACAGGATTATTGTTCAGACATGGAGATGGACCTTATCGGTTCATAGATGTATTGTTGTTCTTACGCAGATCGATATTTCCTCAAGTCAATAAGTTCATGGATATTAGTTTAAGAGCTCAAGAATGTTGACACATATAGTAAGTGGTGCCGTTCCGAATAGCCAGCCTACAGTGTGGGGTATTCAGCTTTGGTAAAATCCATGTATACACCACTCTCATGATATTTCAGGTGGGTGTTGAATGAATTATCACCAATTGCAGGGGTGTAGGTCGGTGTAAACTGGTGTTAAAATGCTAATTCACACGCTTTTAAAACACACCCTCAAGTCCAGTTGTTCGTTATAAACTAAATTACGGTGCTGACAATACATAGTCCGCAGATTATCCTCAGATTACGCAGGCAGTGCTAACAGGGTACTGACTCTAGCAGTTATTGTCCAAGTAATCACACTGAATAGTTAAACGGGACAAAAACACCTATTTAGGTTCTCTTGCCTTCAGAAACCGAGTGTACACCCTTTACAATGTCTTTGTATACCTATGAAATTGAACACGACGTAAACGGTTATGTTCTGAAATCATACCCGTCCAACTAGCCAGCAATACAAAATGTCTTATAAATAGACACGAGATGTAGGATGATTCAACGTTCATCCATCCGTGTTCATGCCGACACACTCCAGTTCACTGACTATACGGACGTAAGTGAGGCTGTATACGGGATACATATCATATGCAATAACAATACACGTTTGGAGAGGTTTGGAAGTCTACTATTCTAATTCTGTAATTATCCAATTTCGACGTATGTTTGCTTTACTTCTTTCTGGCTCAAATCTGGCTGAAATATCTACATTACGTATGGTGAACATTCATATTTAACTGAATATGCATCATAACTGTATTGTGTACCCTCTTTAGGGTCGATACTATCAATATCGGGCTTTTTAGTAAAGGCACTTGACTGCTTGACGTTCAGACAAAAAACCGAATCAAATAAAGAGATCAAAAGTGAAAACAGAGCTGTCCTGCCTGTGGTTTATGTTGTAATATACACATAGTTAGGGGGGGGGGGGGGGGGGGGGGGGGGGGGGCAGTATTTTGAAAGGTTTACCTATCCCTGGTGTTATTTGCTACGTCAAGTGTCCGTGATTTGGAAAATTGGATCTTACCATTCTTCGTACACAAGTTTATTTTATTATCATACTTACTATGTTGGGAGGGTAGTGATGCTTTTCGTGTAGTATGTGGTTGCCCCTCATCAGCAACTGGGCGTCGATTGGTCCTTTGATGTGGAGGGCGTCTTTGCCGAACTGTGGCCCTGCCTGATTAGGCGAGGTCACTCTCTGTGTCTTGGGTACTGATACGGCCCTTTGTACCTCGACAGCCTGCATCCCATAACTAGGGATGCGTACCGTCCCAGCTTCACGGACTTCCGGCTTCAACTTTTTGGACATTTTCTGATAACCTTTTTGGGCATCGACGGCGCTCTTAATTCCCAAGGCCCCGGGTCCCATCTTGGGTGCCCCTATTCGGGGAGCATGGGTATTACAATACACCTCCTTGTCTCCCGAATCTGTAGGGTTGGACCAGTAACTCCGGATATTTAGAAACTGGCCACACACAACACATTTGAAACAATTCTTGTGAAATACTACATCGTGGACCGGACCGACTTTCTCTTGCATGTATACCTTTTTGCTGCATCTGTGACAGTCGTTGGAACTGTTGGGGAGGGGTCGGAACAGAGAGGAGAGACTCTGGTACCCTCTCTCCGCCGCACGCCTGTCATCTGAGGCAGTCGCCATTATTTCTGATCTCAACAAAAAAACTGTAATCTTCACAAATACACACTCGCTACGGATGAAGATTAATCCGAGTAAAGCTCCACATGTATAGCTTACTGGCCGAAATATCTGGTTTCAAACACACTAGACCATATTTCGGAAGACTCTCCTCCTTCTGAGTTCTAGTGTAAACAGAAATACCTAGCTCTATATACACATATACACAGGTTCTACCTGAACGACGGTCGTCCTACCTTTGTAATGTTCCCACAGGTAAATTGTCGAGTCAATACCCACAAGTACGTACAGTTTCCGAGATAGGGAATGTAATGAGCAATGCTGCTGTCATATTTAAACTGATTCGGGGCAAGTAACAACCTCACTTGTGCCCTGTGTGTCCACTATTCTCCATGTCAGACTGTGAAATTCTTTTTTTTCACCTGGGCGAGAAATCTATGCACCGGTTCATAGGGCGATTCCATTTATAGACTATACACAGGTAGAGCGGAAAGTCAGCGAAGCGTGACAGCGCAATTACAACGAATACACGGTGCGCAGGTACTGTTTAGCCAAGTAGCAGACCGTCGAATAGGGACATAAACTCGACCAACAAATCGCCCTCTAATCATATAAAAAGGTGATTCATTCAATTATGACGCTATTATTTTCCGGTGTATTGGTACCAAAGATAAACCTATTTACTGGACACAGGTGATGATCGATTTATACCTCTATATTACCGTACTTCTGTTATTGATTATAAAACAAAGGTATATATTACACTTACTTCATATCTGACCTCATTATCTAAGTTCAGTCAATGCTACTTAAATAAGTTCAGCATTATATGACACTAGATGCATTAGAGTATTATTGTATAGATGATAATATGAAAATGACATCATGGCCACTGTACACTTTTCTAAATAATCTACCATAACGTCATATTTTTTCTTGGTTCGTTTGTATGAAAACTTTACCACAAATATCCATGATAAGATGATTGATAGTATTATATGAAAAAAACACCTTCTAGAATGCATAAAAACTATCATGAAATAAAACTGACTAAAATGCTGTGTCTAATATCTTATCTGGTGAGTGTATGGGCGGATTGGTCGAGTGGTTAACACTCCGGCCTTCCAAGCAGACGGCCGGGGTTCGATCCCCAAAGTCGCCGTACGCATGGAATATTCAGAGAATTGTTTTCCTCCTGCCAACACAACTGGAGTATAAAATGGTCTGGGTGGGTGGGTGTTGCGGTATCTGTGCTATAGCATTCAAGTGAGGTGGCACTATAAATGATACCGTTGGAAGCACGGTCCCACTACAAACAAAACACAATACATCTCCAGCACACACACACACAGGCATACACACATAGGGAGAAATTACCCAGGTGGCATAGAACTAGAAGTTAGCGACTGGTAAGGCAGCTTCTGCGAATTCCTCAATATTGTATTGATTAATATAGATGCTAATTGTATTGACTGTATATCTATGTACTGTAAAGCGCTTTAGAGTGGCTTATGTTAGCTAGATAGGGCGCTATATCAAATGTTGTATATTTATTTATTTATGTGTTTATTGATACCTGTCGAATTATTAGAAAACATTGTTCTCTCATTTTCCCTAAACTGGCTTAGTGTGAGGTATTTATTGTTTTATTTCACCTGCACCTCGGGGTAAATAACGGGGCAAACAGCGGAGCAAGGTGATGTACCACAAGGTGGCTTAGTGGACGTTCCACTGAGAGAGAAAACGTACCACTAAGAACATTTGGGGATATTACACGGTGAAGAGGGAACATACCTTAAAGTAAAAAGGTATTATTAACATAACACGGTGAAATGGGGACACGCCGCGAAATAAATTACGAGACGTAACACGGTGAAGAGGGGGGCATACTGCGAAATACATTACGAGACATAACACGGTGAAGAGGGGACCCACCGCGAAATAAATTACGAGACATAACACGGTGAAGAGGGGACTCTCCGCGAAATAAATTACGAGACATAACACGGTGAAGAGGGGACATACCGCAAAATAATTTACGAGACATAATACGGTGAAGAGGGGAGGGGACACACCGCGAAGTAAATTACGAGACATAACACGGAGGAGAGGGAGACATACCGCGAAATAAATTACGAGACATAACACGGTGAAGGGGGGACATACCGCGAAATAATTTACGAGACATAACACGGTGAAATGGGGACACACCGCGAAATAACTTACGAGACATAACACGGTGAAATGGGGACACACTGCGAAATAAATTACGAGACATAGCACGGTGAAATGGGGACATACCGCGAAATAATTCACGAGACATAACACGGTGAAATGGGGACACACGGCGAAATAAATTACGAGACATAGCACGGTGAAGGGGGGACACACCGCGAAATAAATTAATAGACATAACACGGTGAAATGGGGACACACCGCGAAATAAATTACGAGAAATAACACGGTGGAGAGGGAGACGTACCGCGAAATAAATTACGAGACATAACACGGTGGAGAGGGAGACACATACTGTGAAATACATTACGAGACATAACACGGTGAAGAGGGAACACGCCGCGAAATAAATTACGAGACGTAACACGGTGAAGAGGGGGATATACTGCGAAATACATTACGAGACATAACACGGTGAAGAGGGGACACACCGCGAAATAAATTACGAGACATAACACGGTGAAGAGGGGACATACCGCGAAATAATTTACGAGACATAATACGGTGAAGAGGGGAGGGGACACACCGCGAAGTAAATTACGAGACATAACACGGTGGAGAGGGAGACATACCGCGAAATAAATTACGAGAAATAGCACGGTGGAGAGGGGACATACCGCGAAATAAATTACGAGACATAGCACGGTGAAGAGGGGACACACCGCGAAATAAATTAATAGACATAACACGGTGAAATGGGGACACACCGCGAAATAATTTACGAGACATAACACGGTGAAATGGGGACACACCGCGAAATAAATTACGAGACATAGCACGGTGAAATGGGGACATACCGCGAAATAATTTACGAGACATAACACGGTGAAATGGGGACACACCGCGAAATAAATTACGAGACATA